TGTGTGTGTATGTGTGTGTGTGTGTGTGTGTGTGTGTGTGTGTGTGTGTACCTACTTAACCATATTTTGCGGACAGATTTGTACCCAAAAGTGAGCTAAACCTGACAAAATCTCCAAAAACCTCCCTTTGGGGATGTCCTCGTTTGTAAAACTGGTATAAAAATAATGTAAACAAAGTTTTTTTTTTAATTGTAAAAATGCAGAAAGTTTCCTGTAAGGTGTAGGTTTAGGTGTAGGGTTGGTGTAGGACAATAGCACATACAGTTTGTACAGTATAAAAACCATTACGCCTGTGGAATGTCCCCACAATTCACAAAAACAAACCTGTGTGTGTGTGTGTGTGTGTGTGTGTGTGTGTGTGTGTGTTACAAACTAGTACTTACAAAGGTATTAAAGAATTAATTAGGACATCCAGGACATCCAGTTCCCCAAAATCTATAGTTTAAAAATATACTATGTAAAAGGGGTAGGGTTAAAATTTAGTTTATAAACAGAAACTATAATAGTATATTAATGATAGTAAAATAACACTACTCTACTGTGATATTGCAAAAAACAGTGTGTGTGTGTGTGTGTGTGTAAAAGAGAGAGGGGGGGGTTGGTTAACCTCTCAGTTATGTGTATTCTGACTGATAGATTTGATAAGTCTAAGTGTTCATTCAACAACAAAACTTCTCACCCTTATGACCCTTATGGTACTTTGAAAGCATATCATCAGAGGCATCCTAAATATTGTGTTGGTCCCAAATGATTGGGATGATTGGGGACCTTTTGACAGATTTTCTGAGATCTTTTTTATTATTATTTATTTTTTACACTTAAAACAGTAAACAGTTGCACTTTTGTTTTTTTGTTATTTCAAATGTGTAATTTTACCAGTATTGCATTTAAAATTAAGCCTACACATTTACACATTTATCCAAACATGGCAAATATATGAAAAGGCTATAAGTACAGCTAAACCCTCAAGATTTTTACTAGCCACTTCTTGTTGAAGAAGGTAATATGCTTAGTATGCGTTATATTTGCTTTTTGTATTCTTTGCTATATATTTTGGAGCACCAAATAAATAACCTTTACAGCTAAATTACATCATTAATTTATTTTTTTTTTTTACAAAACACAATCACAGTAAACACATTTAGAATTATCCTGTTTATTCAAAGCAAAATTAATTAATAAATGGAAATAAAGAAAAAAATGTAGTCATCCATGGTGGAGTTCTCATGGTTCATGGCTTTGACATCTGCCAAAAAAATAAAGGAAAAATAAATTTGTTTGGTGCAATGAGCCATTCGTGTAGAAATACAATTTTAGGAAATAAATAAATACTAAAAACGTATTTTAGTTTTTATAATTCTCAACCAGTTCTACAAATATGTTTGCTTTAAATTAAATTTTTAATATCTGAAGAAAGAAAATTATAAAAGGAAAAAAAAGGAAAAAAAAATTCAATCACAAAACGCCATCTGCAACAAGATAAGAATAAATCTCCACATTCTATAATATAATATTGTATATAGTTTGTAAATGTCTACACAAAGGTTTGGAGGAAAACCATAATTACTGTTACTATGACTTGGGACACTATACCTTGACTTTATTATAGAGCATACAACTGAAAATGTGCGTGCGTCAAAGATTAGGCCTACAAACTGAAACACTGGAAAATAAAACTGAATAGGCTGCTTTTAGAAAAGATATTCTTTTCTTTTACCTGTTAATTTCTTCTTTACCCTTTTACTTCTGTACTGCACAACTGACAGAACCATGGCAATTCCTTGTCAGACGGGAAAGCAGTCTGAAACTGCAGACATAAGTTGTGGAACCACCTTGCACAATTCTCACACTGTACCTGCATGAACAAATGTAAATACAGTTTTAAATAAATATTTGCATACATGTGAAAAAACATGATGTTTAAGAGACAACACACATTAACGAACTGTTGTCTAATTAGGCCTACCTATTTTATACACTGTAAACCCTAATGTTGTCATTAATAAGCAAAGTTACAACTATAACTCAAGTTATTATTACTATGCTTAAAATACCATGTTTTGGCATTATAAACATATGTTTAGTTTATTTTAAGAACTAAAAATATAAATGTATTTATATTATTGGCCCTTTTTCCGTTTAATCTGATTTGGTATGTCTGAAGTTCTGCCTGACAACAGCGCTGATTGATACAACAGAAAGCGGTAAACGCAGTAGCCTAACGTTAGTCTAGCTATTTTGATCTTTGTGATTTTCCCTAGTGAAGACGGGAGAAGTAACCCGAAAGAAGGCAAAATCGGTAGACGTTAAAATGTGTATGCTTTTTTTTTTCTTACTTTTTCTTAATACATTTTATTCTAACGTTCTTTGCAAATTTGCGCTATTTGCTGTGTTAAAACTAATTTACTCACGCAGGCGGCAAGCATCTCTTTTTTCAAAATGAATGAATGAAAAGTTCCCTTCTGAACAATTTTCAACAATAATTATGTGGTCAATAAATTAGCTCAAAACGTCCTGGGCTGCGTTTCTCGATAACGATTGATCTTAGCACTTAAGAGCGTTTTCTACGAGTCATTTTAAGATCGTTCGTTATTGTTTCACGTGCGTTTCCCAAAAATGCACTTAACGTTATCGCACGTAGCCGTGCTTTAAGTGCTACTTAGGAGTCGCTATCCGTTTGTCAAGTACTGAAATGTCACCTTATAGAATGGCTCGTAATTGTAGTAAACGCTCGTTTATTGAAATGTTAACCTAATGCTGCGTTCCAGACAACTCGGATATAATAACTATAATACAATATTATATTATATTATATATTTTACATAATAATATATAATACACTTCATATATATATATATAAATAAAGAGACGTTATTGCTGGTTTTCGTGCAAGTCATTGACAGATTTCCCCCCCCCCAGTCTTTGAAGCATATTTCCTACATTATTTCTTTTATTCATTTTTTTTGTTCAGTCATTTAATTTAGATGTGTATTTATATTTTTTCTGCCCTTTTTAACTATTTCATTTATAAATTCATTTAAAAAAACAACAACAACAAAAACGAGTAATAAAGTGTACAATAAAGTACAATCATATCCTTATATTATAATCACATTGCACTTGAATAAACTTAAAGGTGTAATCTGCCGATTGTCCTGCAGGTGACCGCATAAATCTGTCTTCTTACGATGCACTTATT